CAAAACATCGCGCAGCGGCACCTCAGACTCCCAGGGGACACTAGACCACCTCTGGCCAATGTTTATGTGGTTTCTCAGGTGCTTACCTCCATTTTGCTCAACAGAATCTTTGCTTTGGAAACGCGCCCTTTCGATGCTGGTCCTGGACAGGGGCCTTTGCTGATGACTCAGCTCGCGCTTGGGGTCACACCCAACAGGCTGTCAGGGCCTTCCTGGGAGCGCCTGAAGGCCAAATCCTCGCGAACCTGGCAAAGCTTCGAGACCTTTACACTCACTTTGAACAGGGCAGACAGGCGGACGCCTCTGACTTTGTGGGTTACCTTTGGGCTCAGTCATGCTCCCCCTTCTTTGGGGGCAAGTTCTTCCACCGCAGGCTTCAAGGCAATGGAAGTGCGAGAGCAGATGCCGCTGAACATCATTTTCCCGGAAGGGGACGCTCCCATGTCCCTCGATGAATTGATCTCCAGCTGGGCGGATGAAGATGGTGGTCAGTACCTGTATGGTGCCCCGGAAGCTCTTGTTCTGCAATTGCAGAGATCTCAGCTTCTCGATGGAACCTGGACCAAACACTCCAGAGGAGCTTGATTTTGGATTGGACATCAATTTGCCCTTTTCTGAAGACGGCCAACATGTCCACATGGCAGCATACCGCATTGTTGCCCTGGTCACTCACCAAGGGATGGACCACCACACTGGGCACTACCAATCTCTGCTCCTCATGGACAATGCTATATGGTTGGCGGATGATGACCAATATCCAGCACTCACCCAGCAACATCGAAAGGACGTCCTTCAATTGTGGCTGGTCAAGGAACCTGAAGATGAATTGGCCCCGGACACCCAGGCAGACTATCAAGCTCCTCCCAGCAAGAAGCAGCGACAGAGTCATGAAACGATGACTCTTCTCTTTGGCAACGTCACTCACTTCGGAACCATTGGATGTGGACGCGTACTGATGCCATGCTCTTCCTTCACGAAGCTCACATGGGAGAGTCAGCCGCCCAGGAGGCCATCCAGTACTACTCCAACAAGGGCTGGAAGGTAGGTGGCCAAGCGGCCCATCCTACGGGTGGCACTTCTGGAGGGTTTTTGACCTTGCACTCCACCAAGCACCTCACCCATCAGGCGGCGGAGTTTCTTCATGAAGGCAACGGATGGACTGCCATTGGTCTCCATCGACAAGGCGCCCTCATCTTTCTCATCCAGATCTACCTTAAGACTGGTGAAACTTTGCAATCTTCCAGCAACTCCCTCATCCTCAGCAAGCTGATGGCCTTCCTCCACCACCTGGGGGCACCTTTCATCATTGGGGGTGACTGGCAGAACGAACCTGAAGCCCTTGCAGCCACCGTCATTCAAAGCAAGTTCAAGGCCACTATCGTTGACACTGCAGGCTGCGCGACTCTGCAGGGCAGCCAGATTGACTATCTCCTGGTTTCCACAGTCTTGGTTGGGGCGATCGCTTGGAAGCCTGCTGGGACGTGCCCTGGAGGCCACATTGTGCACTTCAGGTCTATCTTGACTGTGATCAGCCGGCTCAACCTGTTCAACAGCTGCAACGGTTTCCTCCCATTGGCAGGACCTTTCAGCTTCCGCACCAGTGGACCAGTTTCCAAGAAGACAACGGGCCTTTCCACATCTTGGACACCCTCATCACTGGCTTGGGAACTGACTTCGCTCGATGGGCCACCCAGACTGAGAAGTATGTCACCCAGATGCTTCACAAGCCTGTACTGGGTCGTGGTTCCCATGCCTCGCTGATCACGGCTCCTCTGGTGGATGCTACTACGTCCAGGAAATGGCTCAGGGGTACTGTTGCTTTCTGGGAAAAGCTGAATGTCAGAATCAATGTGGTCCACAACACGGGGCATGGGCCCCTACAAGCGCTACAAGCGTAATTACTTGTTGGACTATGATTTTGACTTGTCTGATGGCAAAGCTTGGAAGCGCACAGGGAATGAAGGAATACCCGATTGCGCCCTCAAGCTCGCAGACTGACTGCTGGCCGGAGCTCCTCCACAAGCTCCACACCGACTTCCGGTGGCAACGCCTTCTTCGTTTGGCAAGGTATGAAGGCTGCCACGACTCTGCAGAAGATGTCTGAAGAGCGCAATGGACCTGCTTTGCGAGCATTGCGCCAGGGCACTTTCCACAGACAGGAAGGCCAATGCCCACTCTGCGGGGAGGCGCTCACCTTCGTTCACCTTCTATGGCAATGCAGGTACTGGAAGGGCAAGGTCAAGGACATTCCTGACCAATGGAAGGAGCGCTTGGCTGTGGGCACTGAACCAGAGCTATGGCAGCGAGGATTGGTGCAATCCATTTTCTACGTCCAGGAAGGGGGAATGGGCACCTTTCACAATGAAGGCTTGTGGACTGCTGAAGCGGCCTATGACATCCCACCGGGGCACACCATTTCCTTGGCGGTGGCTCCCACCTGCAAGGACGTCAGACACAAGCGGTTTGTCTTCGTCTTGTGCATGCACCAGGTCTTCTCCAAGAGGTGCGTCACTGTGCTCAAAGGCATCTGCCCAGGGCAAGCCACCAGGGCCAGAGCTTTGTTCTATGGCCATCTTGCTTTGCGCAGCAAGGAGAAGGTCCATGTCGCCCTCTATGACCATGCGGTGTGAGCCAACTTTGGCCTATGAACGCTTCCCTGACCTGTACCAGAGCCTGGATCCTGAGGACTTTGTGCAAGTCCGACCTTTGCTCTTTGGCAAGAAGGAGATTCAGTCCAATGTCAACCGCAAGGCCTTCCAAAAGGAAGCTGAAGCCCTGGCCAAGAGCTTTGCCAAGGAATCCAGAAATGAAGAGATCATGGAACTCCAAAGGCACATAGACGAGGAGGGATGTCTTGAGTGTTGCAGCCTCTCGGATGAACATCTTGATGAAGGACCGGAGCCACTTCTTGCATCGTGAGACCACTCCTGAGTCCCAGCGTAAAGTGCCCTTGGTCCAGCAGAAGAGGAGCTCCTCAAGCAGTTTGAATCCAGGCCTGACATGGGAGGACACTCTTGGGAAGTTTTCAGATCTGGCGTCCAATGCTCTCAGTGCCGCCAACGTCTTCATGCCAAGAGCTTGATCTCCGACCTCCGGGCGGCCATGGGTTCCACTTGTGAAATGGCTGCGCCCAAATCTCAGAGCAGGAAGACGAGGTTTGAAGTCATTGGCGACCTCATAGCTGCTCAGGAAGGAGTTCAGCCAGGAGTGCACCACCTGAAGCTCGCAGAGGAGCTCAGGTACGCTGCACCAGATGTGGAGCCGGCAGCAAGATTCGAGACCAACAGGTCAAAGGATCTGAGGGCAATGTTTTCGAAGTAGCACCCAATAGCTCAGAAAAGGCGCGCAAAAAAAATATATACACATACACATGCACTGTATACATACCAGTTGCGAACAGGCTCAGATCCCCTCTTTTTTTGGTGAATTTTGCAAAAACTGGGGGTTGCCACAAGTGATCAAGCCGACCACACGCGAGCAGCCGCTTGTCGCGGTGTAACTCGGCGGACCACCTGAATATTCACCTATACTCCTATACGCGCCTGCCCAAAGTGCACACGTAAAGTGTAAAGCGCATACAGAATGCACCGTTTGCATTGCAATTCTCGAGCTGAAGCAGGCACGCGATCGTGTATCCCCCAAATGTTATAATTTTTTGGACTGGAAGCAAGCACTGGCCACAGTCGAGGCAAAGCCTGAACATACTTGTATGGTTGCGCTAGGTCGAAGGCTATAGTATATAGGAGTTTAGGATTGCTTGGCAGGCATCAGAGCATGCTTTCCAAGCCTTACCTGGAGTGGTGCGAGAGGTTGCTGGCAAGGCTGGAAGAGGTTTGTACTCTTGCACAGGATGCACATCGGTGTGCACAGCCATGCATTCTGATTTGTAGTTGAATGTTTGCCTCGGTATGTCTTGCTAGAGTGAGGTGCTAAACAAGTCCTCAAGCTATATTATATAACTGGGCTGGCATAAAAAAGGGCACTTCACAACAAACACATGCACGCCTACCCAAAGGCTCTAAGGTTCCCAGTTCAAGATGTTGATGCTTCAGGATGGCAGACACTTTGGTATCTCGTACCAGGATTTGCTTGCAGCCTTTCCCTCAACATTCCAAAGCTGGTCCGACACAATCTTACATGCTTGTACTCAGGTCATCGCTCTTGCTGCGCAGGACGAATGGTCTAAACACCCTTGACAGTATACTTTGGGAAGTCAAACAGCTGACTGACATGGCAAGCGTTGCTGAGCATGCTTTGTAAGATTTCGTGATATTGATCACTCGCCTGAAGTGAATGGCAATATAGAAATATATACTGTACAAGTAATTTGTATAATGTATTGTTTACAGGTGTGAAGCAGTTTCTGGCATGTCTTCAGGAGCGTGAGCAGCACTTGCGAACACTTGAGGCTGTTGGAAGCAGTTCAATTCAGCTCTAAGTCTTCATACAAGTATGTTGGTTGATGCTGTGTCTTCCAAGACCCGCAAGCTCAATTACCCCGAAGGCGCAGGAAGCCTTTGAACTCAAGCAACAGGATGAGCAGGAGGGCTTGATCCAGGTCTCGGACCTGGCGGACAAACAAACCGCCAGCGCATTGGTTCTTATTGCACCTTGTTCTTCGGCACCTTCCTGAGGCACTCTTAAAGCAGATCGAGCAGTTGTCGACTCGCTTCGCCGTGCTAAGGCAGTTTGTGCCAAGATTTGTTCTGCATGTCGAAGTACTTACCTTGATCGCTAGTATGTTGGAGGCCATCCGTACTAGGTTGTTTTGCTTGTATTCTCAGGCACGGAAGCAAGACCAGATCTCTTCAGCTGTGACTTTCACTGCTGCAATACGCAGCAGTTCACGTCGAATGTCATTTTAAACTTATAGAGGAGCTTCATTTGATTGCTCCTGAGGTCATGGAAAGGGGAGTCCCGTCATGTCGAAATCCATTTGTGTGCTTTCTTAAATTGTTAAAGAAGATACACATGTTTCCAAAAGAGTCAGGCCATGGAACCGCAGTCACAAGATTGGGACATGAAGCCTTGTTGTTTGCAAGAGCTCTCGAAGAGATCTGAAGAGACTCGCTCCAAAGCTGTGTGAAGACCTTCATCAAAAGGAACCGACAGTCCAAAGCAATCGATCCTTCATGTTTGTTTTTGGTATTCCTCTGCAACAATGGACTTTGATGTAAGATCTGATCTACTTTGTGTGATTGTTTGATGCATGCGCTTCAGCTGATCATTTTGGGGCGGCTACCACCGCCGTTTTGCGGACTGTCAAGGCCAGCCGAAATTTTCTTCATTGGCTCCAGAACCTTGTGAAATCAACCTGATCTCAAGCTTCTCCTGACACTTACTCTTACGATTTGTGAAGAGCTTTGTATTTGTGATGCTTGATTTCGTGTGTTGTTGTTTGTATCATTTCAATTCTACACGGCTCACTGCTGCCAGTACGTTTGTTGCCCAGGGCCAATACCGCAATGGCCAAAAAGGACAGTGGAAAGTCAGTCCTGGATTTGGAGAGGCCTTGCTGTGCAACTCCAACAAAAATTACTGTTGAAAACGTCTTGCCTTGAGTTGCTAGGAGTACTGCAGGGTACAACACGCACGAAATCAATACTCTTTCGATATCCTTTTAGCATTGTGGGTACCTTTTACCTTGGAGGTACTTGAACCAGCCAGTGAAAGTCAAGTTCACTGGCGGGCGGGAAGTAAAAGGAATTTTGAAAGGCCAGCAGCTGAATGCAGTCAAACCAAAGCATACCACCAATGAATGCCAATCACTTGAACATGAACCAGTTTTGGAAGGACACGACGCAGTTGCAAATTTAGTGCTGGACGACGTTCAGGAGCAACTTTCATTTCAGCCTGTTTCCACAAAGCTCAATGGACTGTGCTGGAACTTCAGGAATATTTGCGAGACCCTGAAGACCCCTACAAGGCTCTGCGGTTTCCTCTCTGAATCAGAACTGCGCTTCATACGTCTGTGTACTTTTCAGGTCTCTGATGAGACTAGGACCCTGGGCTTGGTGGTCGCGCGAGGTACCTCAGCCAAGGCCTCGGACACTCGGACATTTTCATCAGCTCCGAGCAACAGTGAGCAAAAAAAAGTTAGACATTTTGTCATGGCCTTTATATGCTTTGGTCATGCGGACACTGGACTTTGCTGAAGGTCATGCTGATTTGTCCTGTGGATGGAACGGAGGAAATCGCCAATCCTTTCGCAAGTGCCTAGGTTGGGGATGTTGTTGCATCGTGAAGTCCAAAAGCATTCTGATAGATAGACTTAGACATAGTCGGACGTATTTAGGCAATAAACTTCTTGAATTTGGTTAGCTTGGCTTTCGGGGATCCTGCCACATTGGACTTTATTCAAATGGCAGAAGCCATCCGCTCAAAGAGGCAAATCGCACCTGCAAGATGAGCTCTGAATGAGCTCTGACTGCAACTGTGTGGCGTGGCATGTTGCAGGTGCAATTCAGAGCTTCTGAACCGGCCAAAGAGAGAAGCAAGGCTGTGTGCAGAGAGATATGTGAGATGCAGGGCGCATCATGAGAGCTACAAAGAGGCAGTATGTCACACTATGTTCCTCAGAATCTATTTCACAAGTATTTGGCACACCTTAGAAGTGACGTGAGATTTGAGTTTAAGTGGCTCAAGAAATGCATTTCTCATTGGTCATGAGTAATATGTACTTGATCAGGATTGATTTCTGCGGGACAAGAAGCGAGTAGTCAACCATGAATGAACCTGTAGCTAAACAATATAGAGCTTTGAACCTTGTCAAAGCAGCTCAAAACACACAAGCGACGGTGAAAAGAGGCATTTGGGAGCTGCAGTCGTTTGTTTCATCATAACCCGCAAGCTTGACAGATCAGATTGGCAAAAGTATCCGACAATGTCTCTGACTCTAATTGCTCAAGCTCTACCCAATGGACTCTCAGGACTCTAATGTCAAGTGGTGCATGTTGTGTTCTGAGGAGGCGAAGCGTCGAAGCGTGTTGTCTGAGGAATTTCATGGTGAAGAAGCCCTTGGTGTGTTCTCACAATCTGCCCTTGATCCCAATCCTCTTTGCGAGGCGTTGGCCTTGGCATCCTCAGATCTTAACACATCCCACTGTTGTCCACTATGAAGGCCAATTGCAAGCGAGGCCCCTCCTGGAGCCGTGCCCCAGCTGCTTGTTCCTGTTTGAGAATATGCAAGGAGAGCTCAGAAAGCTTGAGCAGACTGGACAGGTACCTTCACAAGGTACAGAAGCATGGTATGCTGACTATGATCTCAGCCTCCGTTTGCCACTCAGAGCTAAAGGATTCGGCGGTGAAATGCAGGCTAGCGTCTAGTGTCTAAAAACCTGCGCATGTTTTGTGCAGTTGCCACTAAACAGCTTGCCAGTCCAGTCTGTTTTCAATAAACATATGATATATCAATATCAATCATTGTTGGACCATTATGAATATGTATATATATATGCATATAGGTGTATATATATATAATATGTAAATGTAAATATGTATATGGTGGCAAGAATCCCAAGGGCACCACGAAAGAAGAATAAGACCAATCGCGGGACAAAGGATGTCGAGGTCTATACCGTACCCTCAAGAAAGATGAGATGCCCTACTTGAGACCATTCCAAGATAGGCCAGGAAAGAAAGGCTGCAACTACGCGTCGAACAGTGGGGACAACTCTGGCAGAACCGTGAAGGACCCCTGACGGTTGCGTGCATGGCGGACCTGATCAAGAAAGGGCAAGAGTTTGCTCAAGAAATGCAGCCATTAACGGAGCAGCCCAAACACTGGCAAGTTGAGATCCAAGCCAAATTTCTGGGAAAGAGCTGTCCCAAGCACGGAGTGCTTGCAGGTAGCTTTGAAAAGGGTTTTCGTGACAGAACACCACCAGGCGCTCAAGAAGATGGTCATCTCTGTTCTGCTGGACATGTCAAACTTCTATGATAGGATGCAACTGGAAACGCTGGATGAACGATGGACTATATAACTCTGACTACCTTTCAACCCATGCGGATTAGCTATGCAGATCTAGTGCCAGGGTCCTTGAAGCTGAAGTTCGGGTCCTGTCTGGACCAACAATGGGACTTCGGCAGGTGATCCCCAAGTACCATTGCGGCCAAAATATATCTGCGCAGGGCTTTGAAGGAGTTCAGCGAAAAGTACCCACAGCTCCACACTGATTTGTGGATTGACGACCTCAGCTTCGACGTAGTTGACAGAGACCCCACCGATGCAGCTCGAGTTGCTCTTCAAGCCTATGCCTTCACCAAAATGCCAACTGGAGGTGGACCACTCGAGACTTTCCGAAAAGAAAGCAGGTTTCGTTGTGTAGTTGTGTCCAATGCTGAAGCCAAGAATGCTCAAAGAACAGCTGCCTGAAAAGGAGGTCCCCGTGTACATGATGTCATGCGAGATCTTGGAGTACATTGCACTGCAGGCAGACTTCGACGGATCAAGACGATGAAAGCTGCAGGACCAAGGCAGCCAGGATCACCAAGAAGCCCCAAGTGCTCAAGATCCCGATGAAGGCGGTCGGCGTCAATCAGTTGGGGGCATGAGGCCATCGCATCCGAGCAGCAATGGCCAGCCAAATGAGACTGGGGGACATTGACGTCTTTTGTTGACCAGGCTTTGGGCGTTTCTTTGTCAACCGGCCGGGGCGCTTGCATCGTGACCTCGACAGGGCGTGGCAGGTCCATTGTGAACGTTTTATCTGCGTGAACATGGTTGGGATACCGCAAAGTATGATGAGCGGACCAAACCTGGACACAACGGCGCACCTGACTTCAATCTCAACATAAAGAGGAGCTACAACGAGCGCAAGCCTGGAAGACGGTCATGCGCGTCAATAAGAGAACCATGCTGCAAGAAGTGCAGCAGCCACTGGACTGGTTCCCTTAAAGGCGCTACTCCAAACCTCCAGCGCAAGAATGCTACTGCCTTGCAGACCTGGCGTCTCTTCATCAAGATCAAGATGGCAGTGGCAGTCTACAGTCTACATTGCCCTCATTGCGGACAGGCAGCCACAGCAGTGCATTTGCCTCTGGCTGTGCTAGGAGACCAATAAGGCTTTCCCAGCTTTGGCCGAGGAAGACACCTTCGAGCTTGAACGTGGCTTGAATCTAGAGTTTCGGGCTCAAGGACTTCTGCGCAGGCGGTGCGACTGTTCAGGCTTGGGGATCTTGGACGAAGAAGGATGAGATTAGGCCGCAACAGCGATGTGGTGACCATTGGGATAGCTCCTGCAAGCATGGACCCCAGACTCATCCAGGCAAGCAGACTTTGGAAAGGGTTGGGCTTGGTTTTGTGGTCTTCGACTGGTGGCGCACTACATAGATTTGGTTTTCGGGGTCAAGGTTCAGGTTCTGTGAACAAGAGCCTGGGAAGCGTGGGTACACAGCAAACATAGTGAGGCCTTCTTCGACTTGAACCAACTCGTGACGCTGGGCCAGTCAAGGCCTTGAGCTTCAATCAAAAGCAGATCAAGTCGATGCCGCTGGGGCCTTGCACCATGAAAGCCCGAATGACGGACGCTACCGAAGCAGCGAAAGAAGTTGTCCAGCCAAACTGACCTTGAGGAGGAGCTGATGCTTCAGGACCAAAAGTATGCGAGAATTGCACCCCTTGCCGCGCAGCGTGTACGACGTCTTTTGGAGGATGCGCAGCGCTTCATGCGCAAGGCTGGAGAAGCTGGCAAGGAGAAAAGGCAACAGGCCAGGGAAAGGAAAAGAACCCTGTACAACGACATTGCCAACTCCAACCAGCCAAATGGGCATCGCGCAGGGAGAGGGCTACAGTGTTTCAATTGCAAGACACGTGTCGCCGTGCGCCAGAAGTACCAGGAGCTGCTGAGCGCCAATGATGATACTTGTGAGTGGGCGCACGGTCTTCCCTCAATGGAGGCAGCAGTGAGCCCGAGGACACCAAGGCTATGTTGCTGAAAAGGATCATTGAGGGCCAGCGTGATGCACTTGCAGGTCACGACTTTGAGGTTCAGACGAACTACGCGGCGCGCAAGAAATGCAATGTCCGCACTCTGCGGAATTCAGCCAGGGAGAAATTCCTGGCTATGGCCCAGCAAACGTGCTGGGATCAGGGGTGGACTTCCCGAGCCGCGTGGCAAGGGCACTCAACACATCGAATTTGACGCAAGGGAGGCAACGTCTTTTGTCAGGTGTGCAAAGCCCATGGCCTAGCGGAAGGAGCAGAGCAGTGGAAGCCTAGTAGGATGCTGCTCCACAGATGTAGAGGAGACACGGCATCGCAGGCAACATTACCTGCCTGTTTCTAGGCCAAAAGGGCCGAGGAGTGACAACAGTGCATCAAAGAAAAGGGACGCAGAAAAGTATCTACGTGTTTATGGTGGCAAGAATCCCAGGGGCACCACAAAAAAGGATAAGACCAATCGAGAGACAAAGGCTCGGCATTACTGCAACATTTGGTCTCCCAGTTCTACTCAGACGTTACTTAAGGTTGATCCTCTGACATACATGGGGGATGAACATCGATCACTTGTCCCACTACGCTTGGAGCAACCGCTAATGCCACAACACAATGAAAGCCTGCTCAATTTGCATGACCTCCAAGCCCATCAAGTCGGGGTAGGCCTGCAAACCGTAGAAACTTGTAGGGACCACCTACTGTAGCTCTGAGCCACTTGAGACTTAGTGGAAACCTCTTTTCAACGAACAACCCAAAGTCCAACAGTTGACAGATGTCCAAAAAGAGCTGCAGAACCTGACATTTGCTTCGCATTTTCAGGTCCAGAGGATGCTGGGGTTACGGTCCTAGTTGAAAGTGGCACACATGCCTCACGTGTTGCATTTGCCATTGGGTCCTTGGGAACCTTTGTTTTCATTTTGTTTTGTGCAAGTAAGAGCGCCGCTGGAGCTGCTTCACAATATTCATGCTTACACAATCTTGACTTACACAAAAAGCGATGTTTTCTCGGGATTGCTTGGTTTGCAGACGCCCTTAAGGCCGGGCCTCTGTCATGGCGCCTGTCGGCCTGGTTTTCCCGGCATGGTCTGTCAGCTCCAATTGCGGAGTGGAGTCTTAAAGGACAGTCGTGCAAGGCAATTCCAGGAGGATTTGATTGACTTCTACAACAACAATGGTTGAACTCTCAGAATTTCACAACATACAAGATCACACAGAGCAAAATCGCGAAGTGGCAGGCCGTCCGCCGTTGAATCCAGCTTACTTTGTGGTTGCAACATTACCAGAAGCATTGCAGATGCAGCCTAGCACTGAGCTGATGCAGCTGCGCATACGCTCAGTGTTGGCTTAAGGCTTAAGTAATCTTCAGTATATAGTATATAAAGAGTATTTTGCCAAATGCCACCAGGATATTACAAGAGTGTCCTGGGCTGATGGTGGCTTCCAGCATCCTGATTGCTCAGGCAACAGCAGAAGTTGTCACCACATCAACGAGACGACACTTGTTGAGTTGTTTTCTTGAGTTTGGAAGGCACGACAATCAGCCGGAGATTGTCCTCAGGCAGCACAAACGAGTGATAGACACAGTGTGGATAGCGTAAACTAGAGACGAACTTTGGACAACAAACGACATGAGATGACAGAAGTGCAGCTGAGATTGTTGGCAATCCGAGGCAGCTGCCGTTTTTCGGCAGATGCTGAGGTGGGCCTATTTGCTGCCATCAGCTCAGGCTTTTCAAGACATCAAACGGTTGGGCCGGATGTATGCTGGTACGGTCAGAAATTCCATAGATAAACGGGCTGTATATACAGTACAGGTCTCGTGGTCCGGATGTGCAGTGTTTCTCTTTTTTCCGTCTGAGCAGGCTCTAGACAAGCACTCCCTCTGGCTTTATACGACAACCACTGCAGTTTTCCATTTTTTTTAAAATGCTTAACGTATTTCTTTCCTTTGATGACACATGCTTTTGCAACAAACATGTCCTCCTCCTAGCTGATGACATCATATGCTGGAGTGGATTCGGTTCTTTTGGAATCTGCTAGGCTCTAGCATACAGCATACTCTAGTAGTATCCTGTTCTTCCAGCGTGGGGGCTGTGAACAATTCATGCTGAAAGCAAGGTCATCCATTAGACAAGACGAAAGTGCTTCATCAGATGGGATGCATGCGTGTCTTCAGAGTACATATATACCCGAATATACCCCTTACAGCCTACTTACTCCACAGAAAGAGTAGCCTTTACTAAACGCAAAAGGATGTCTAAAAGTTGAAACTCCAAATGAAAGATACAACCGCAGCAGCTGGAAACTGAAATAAACTTAGTTTAAAATCATTTCTTGCATGACCCTTGTCTCATCTTAAGTCACATGCAAGTTCCGAAAGAAACCTGTTTTGTACCATATCCTATCTCGCATACTTTGCACAGTCTATGAGAAGCAAGTTTTGAAAACAAGTTCGCAAGTAAATCTTCATTGATGATATCCTATCGATACCCTGTCTTGTACACATCTCATGATGCCTTGTTTCGTAACAAGGGCCTGGCACAGCATATGCCCCACAATGCCCATGTTTCCCTTGTCTTGTGCCAAAGGAATAGCACCTTTCTTCTAATACATCTGCGCATTCCACCACGTGTCACAGGATTCCTGCATATTGAACCGAAGGAGTAGTACCTGCCACACAAACTCGAGTTCAATCCCACCCCTCAACTGCCCTTCCACTTGTGAGGTACTGGAGGCAAGATAATATGGTGAACAGTAAAACATACCTGACGGTGTACAGAACCCCCCAAGATCTTTCCACCCACCCACCTGACCTGGGACTGCATGTTCTTTGCAAGGTGTCCTTTGAGCGGAAAGAGATGGCAGTATCAGGTGCCCCTAAACAAACTAGGAACTGCCCAACTAATTGTTTGGGAATTAGATTGATGCCTTGGTGAGGTCTAGTGCCTCCAGGGTGTGTAAGACGAATGTGCTTTCTCCAAAACGAATTGTTGTTCCATTGTGATGTCTTTTACGGACCTTATATGACTTCAGGGCATGAATGTCTTGAGGTTACCACCTGCAAGAAGGCCCAACACTGCAAATTTCAGAGAAGCTGTCATTCAGCATCATCCCAGATTGAATTTGCACAAGAGTATAAGAATATAATAACAAGCATCCACCGAACAATCAGCAGGACTTATATATATATATATACATTTCTTTTTTTTTTTTTTTGCGAGTTGGTCACCTAGGAACAAATTAACAACACTTTTTCAACAACACTTTACACAAACCTCTTCAAAACCTATATAGGTTTTGTTTTTGCGCTAATCCAAAAGGTTGTCTTCTTTTTTGGTTTTGAGTTCGGGTGCATATTGTCTGAAACTTTTGTTTTGGTCCTTACCACAGAGGCTTACTCATATTACTGGAATCCCAGAAGGTTGACGTGCCCAAGCTGTGCATGAGTAGGAGCAGATCCTTCCACATACGTTCTTTGGCACAGAACTTTCCTTTCACAGGGTCTTTTCATGCCTTGTCCGATACGAAGAAACACCGTTAAAGGAGCTTACTTTTTTTTGTGAACCATTCCTATTTGTAAGGTCCTGTCAGGTTCCAATGCCCTTCAAGCAGCCCTTCACTTCTCAAGTCTCCTCGATTGTCACAGCATGTTTGTGTTGCTGGCCTTTCAGGAACTTCGCAGCCCTTAGACCTAGGCAAAACATGCGCTTCTAGTATGAAACATTCACTAGCTAGGTCATAGTTTGATTTTCAATACAGATACCGTTACTTGTTCATAGGGTTCTCCTCCTTACAAAACACCTGTATCCTTGAAAGGCCTTCCTCACTTGCAAAGCCTCCTCATCTGCACAACCATTATCCTTGGTCAAGGCCTTCTTTATCCCAACGGAACTGTTCAGCACCTCCCCCAATCAAGCAAAGTAAGCATGAGCGTATCTTGTATTTGTTGACTTTTGAAACATAGGTCATCCCCATTTGCGTGGGTGAAAGCCGGTTGGCCCCTATCATCTGAGGGAATTGTTCAAGAAACCACATTTTGGCATTGTTTCTTTTTTTGGTCCGGGTAACTGCCGTGACCAAAGGGACCAAAGAGCAAGGACATTGAACCCCAAACCAGGGACCAGGGGATGATGGAACAGGAAATCAGGCACCAGAGGACAGGGGACCAGGCGAGACCAGATCATCCAAACAATTCTTTATTTTGATACGAATCCATGTTTCTTTGGACGCTCTCTTGACAGGCATGCCTTTTCAAAATCAACCAGTTACAAACAAATACAAACTGAAAGAATTGTTTCTGGTTCTGGAAGATCCAACGGTGGATGATAGAGGCCACCCGGTTTTCGCCTGGACGCCAAACACTCACGACATGCCCGAGGTGCTGCAAATACCAGCTGGATAAGTGAAACACTTCTGCCCAAAAGCAATGGACATACCAGTAAGGATTGTTTAAGAGACGTAAACCTTGTTGAGATGCTATTTCAGTGGTAAAGTCGATGGTGCCGTTGCACCAGCCGGGAGACAACCCACATGAACATGAGCATCCAATTCTCCTGCTACTGGTAGGTCACTGTTGGCAACAGCCACGCTCGCAAAATCAGATCGTCGTGACATATTGCCTTTGAGTCAAAACTGTGTGTTCAAAATTATGCAAATGCAGTTTGAGTGCAACAACCTAAGAAATGCAAGATGTCCAAGATTGAGACATCAACAATTGAGAAATCCAAGCATCCAATAGTAAAAAGCCAAAAACCAAAGATTGCAGATCCAAATAATTCGAAATGTTTGAGACATCCTAAATTGCAGCCCCTCCCACAATCCAAGAATTCAAGATCCTGCATTTGAAGAGTTGTTCATAGTCTCACCCGTCGAAGACCTTGTCCATCGTGTTTATTTTTGCTGAACATTCTGTCCTTATAGTACCAAAGATACAGTCCTCTAGTGGGGGCCTCACGGCAGTTTAGGGGATTGAATGAGGTCAAGTCGTGATGCAGCCTTTCTGGTAGCTTGGCTTGTTGGAGTGTGAGCATATGGGCTTTTTGTTGTTTTCCTTGTTTCCAGAGGCATGTGGCATGTGCCCTGATTGACTACCCAACTTGCCGCAGCGCATATTTTGGCATGTGCAAGGAAGAGCAGAAACATGAATCCAGGGTTAGGATGTTTAGATTAAAGGTACTGTACAAGGACATTTTCCCCAACTTCACCTTCAAGTGCATCTCAAATCATTGTTTGCCTATCCAGATTGCATGATGCCGAGACGATGTACAGCCAAATGCAGGAGCTTCAACTTATCTAAGCTGGTGGCGCTGAATGTGCTTTTGATTGGAATTTGGGGTTTGGACTGTTTTCGGCTAGATGATGCCTGCGACTTCATCGCACCCACTGAGCTCACGCCACCAAGGGCAATTCCCACTCGCTTGAGGCGGACACAAACATGGCTTCAGAGTCGAGATGAACGAGAGGTTGAACAAGTTGAACAGAAGACTCTGACCTCACAATCGCGCTGGACAAGGCTTCGAAATTGGTTCACAGATGCAGAGAATCGCCGCCGGTTTGCATCCATGGGGGCTGCTGGCGTGTTGAGCTATGGCGTCGTTTCGAATGCCAATTATATACCACTTTTTGCGTACGCTTGGTATCTTGTATCTGTTCACACCAAAGTGTCTCCGTTGCATCAATGGCCTGCTTTTCTATCGACATATGCGACCCTTTATGTATTCAACAATGTGCTTCGGCCCATCAAATTGGTGGCGCTTGGTCTTGTCACACCTCGAGTAGATAGCTGCTTCAACTGGTTGGCGGGGAGAGGCATCGGAAGGAAACGCGCTGTTTTGCTTGTTTACGTGGTGCTGAATTCACTGACGATTCTTTTGATGGCCTTGAGTGTGTTTGGCGCCAGCTGCTTGGCCGGTGTCAGAATTTGGTGACAACAAGCTGCATCGATTGTGGAAAGTTCGCTATGGTTACACCCGTACTGCATACTGAAAAAGGGACAGAGTGCCAAGCTGACAACCAGTGCCTTGGACTTTGCCTTTTTTGAGACGAGTCATCCTGCACAGCTTTTGCCCAAAGTGCAAGGGCGAAGCCGAAGCGGGGTAAGAATGAATACATCAGGTCTTGCACTGTAAAGCTTCCCGAGGCCCCATTTGATAGCCTGGTGCTGGAGGCATGCCAATACTTTCATTGAACTTGTGGAGATTCAAGTGTACTGGGTTAGTTGAGCAGGCGGAGCTTCTTTTGAGTTCCCAGTGTATTCTTGTTTATTTAGCTTTCCGTACTGCTTAGCTTAGCTGTTGCTTCCTCCTGAGAGTCCTGCCTCCTCCTGGGGATGTGGGGCAACGAAGATCTTGATCCGCAGGAGGAGCAAATCAAGCAACTGGTGACGCAGGCTTGGCGGCTTGGGATTGTCGAAGGTGAACATAGCACAGTATAGGGCCTGAAATTGTGAACGAACGAAGGAACAAGCACGCTACTAGGGGCTCCTGGCATCGCTACTAGAAACAAGAACGCTACTAGGGGCTCCTGGCATCGCTACTAGGAACAAGA